AAAAAAAAAAGAAAGTAGTACTCACAACATCAGCAACGGCACTAGCAGCTGGTGCAGGAGGTGTAACAGCAACAACAGGAGTAGCAACAACCGAAGCAGGAGCAGCAGGAACAGGCGAAGGAGCAGCCGATTTCTCAAAGGAAACAGCCTTCTTACCATTCCCATTACCATTAGCATTAACAACATTCACATCCCCTTTCTCAGCCTTATTAATCTGATCCAATTTTTGTTGTTTCTCCTTTGACGCAGCACGTTTCTTGGATCCACTAGATCCTGCACGGAAACATTGGTACCAGACTATGATAAAGATAAGGACAATGAAGAGAGCACCTCCGATTAATGGACCTAAGACGATTGGGTCTGAGAGTGTGGATCCTGATGAAGGGGATGATGATGATGGTGCTGTGGTTGTTGGTGGTGGGGATGTTGCGGAGGTTGGTGCGGGTTTAGGTGAAGATGATAATGTTGATGATGATTGGAGTAATGAAGACGATGATGCTGCATCTGTAGCAGAAGAGATGCTACTGGCAAGTGAATCTGTGGTGATGCTGCTGCTGCTCATTGTGGGTGGTGGTGTTGATGTGATCGTTGATAACAGAAAGAAAGAAAGAAAAAAGAAGAAAAAAAAAAAGAGCGATTTTGGGGGCAGCACACAGGGCTATTCCACCCTAACATTCTGCACTGCCGGGGCTGTGCACGCACTCAAAGTTGCGACCACACATTCACTACCCGCCACGAGGACATCGATTCGAATATGAAAAAAAAAAATTAAAAAAAGGTTTAATGTGCCACCAGGCGGAATCGAACTGCCATTTCCTCGGCCACAACGAGGTGTACTAACCGTTATACTATGGTGGCCATATGGGCTCAATGAACCGCTATTTTACCATCTTGTTAATAAATGTTGGTATTCCTAGTTCAAACTTTCTGATTAATCAGGTCACGTTCGTTATCAGTTTTGTTAACCAACCAGGGTGTATGTGTTTATAAAGCAACCTGTCTCTGGTGCTTGTAAAAACAGATAACTTCTCTGTGGCAAGTGTCTGAGGACTGCCCTAATCTGAACTGGAGCACTCTTTGTCAAACAGCGATACTCAAAAAATATTAAATCATGAATCAACAAATGCGATTCCGTCAGATGTAAAAATTGAAGGTCAAAGTCTACCAGGGGTTGATTGAGCTCAAACACCAGCTCGCCTTTGGCCAACCTTTACATCCGATCCAATATCGCGTCAGTTTGGACTTAAATATGTAATGACCCACACAGTCTTCGTTGCATCGAGTAACTTATTGTGGCGATTGTCAAAAAGGATTTACTTTTGCATGGCAACCGTCAAAAAGTTACCCTAATGAACACGGACAATGATGGTATCTTTTATAACTGAAACACCAAGTACATCTTTAAACATTTAATCATTAATCAACAAATGCGATTTTAGCAATTGCTCATGAAAGAGAAGGCGAAAGTGTACCAATGATGAATTGAGCTCAAACATTAGCTGTCTTTTGGCCAACCTCTCACTAGCACAGCATCTCATCCGATATCACGTCAGTTCGTAAATTAATTTTCGCCAACAGTCACGGCAGCACCCAAGCAGGAACTGTATCAAGCAAGACTGAGACTGTTATTAACGCACTCTTTATCAACAGTGATATTGCCAAGTGTATGCACTCTGGAGGAAGAAAAAGGTGGATCACGCAATTTACTTGTTTTGATATCCAAAATTGGCCTTCCGAATGTATACCAATTGGCAGTATTAGAAACTATGTCTTTACGTCGACCTTAACTTTTTATTCCTCATTTGACGATTGCAAATTCAGCCGTTATAACCACTAATTATTGCATCCAGTTCATTGTCAGCATTTATATGCGTACACTTCCCGCTTTAGTGGCATGATGTGATAGAAATCCTGAGTTCTAAACCAGTTTTAACTTTTTTCAAATTCGAGAGACCTTATCACAACCATTAATCAGCCTTTTTTTGCAACAGGATATCAAATGATATATATAGCGCATTAATAATGGTACTTTATTTCCTATTTTTGATTTATAAAGTGAATAATGTCTACTCTTCAAGTAGCCTGTTAATTATTTAGTATCAAGAGATCATGCATTACAAACGAAATAAATAGATTTCCTGTTCCCCAACTAGGCTTAACTGTCAAAGTCATTTAGATGCATTTAGATGAATTCCGGGTCAGAAACATTTTTGAAAAAATTCAGAATCCAGATACTTCATCTTTTTAGGGTCGCCTTTGAGAACAGAGGACAACCTTATCAAAAATAAAAGTCTGGAAACCTTTCTGCAAGAAATATTACAACGCACAGACTTATAACCATTCAAAAAAAGTAATTCCAACAACAGAGTTGGAGTAAAATGTTGAATTCTGTCAAACGTGTAGCAAGTAAAGTGAAGTTGAAGAAACACTAGATTATAATCACTCACGTAACTTCTGTGGAATCCATGATTTGTTCTTCCTCACCCGTAACTCTACACGACACAAAATCATGACTTTGATGCTTGAACGTGATCTACTGCGTTCACTTTACTAATTACAAGTATGTATGTGGGACATGGCAAGTCGCGGTCCATAAGCAACTTCAACCTTCATTACCATTTAAGATAACAAAATCAAATTAACAATATTTGAATTCATTTCCTGTCGAGTTACGTTGTCATTCAATTTTCAAAATTGTAACCTGCTCAAGTTAACTTCAAAGTTTAGAGCGTTACTGCAACATCAATTTCAATCAGCTTTTTTGCCAAAAACAACAAAAGGCATCACACATTAGTCTTCATTTTTGCTTCCTACTTTTATTTGTAAATATAATGTTACAGTAACTTGTGTATTGCTAAAGTATCCTGGGTTGCCAATGATCGTGCTCGGCGAAGGACGTCAAACTTTTGAGCACGAGCACAAGTTAGATAAGATGCTTTCGAAACGCGTTCGATTTAAAAAAAACTTTTTCACTTTGGATCGTAATCAAAATGGTGCTCTGATTAGGCTACAGCTTCGTGTTTAATACGAAAGGTACAAATTGGACCTCGAATATGTCATTTCCGCTGGTTGTTCCAGTTGGCGGTGGTCAACAGAGATAACCTTTCTGTCGCTTGGTCAACGGAGGTAACCATTCGTCGAAAGACAATGAGAATATTGTCTTTTCATTGAAAAACTACAACAAGTGATGTTAAATATCAAATCAATCAATAAAAAGTGGTTAGAACTTTGTTAAAGTCAATCACATACATTCCAAGGTTGAACAGATACTCGTTTCGAAATAGTAAAGCAAATTGATCTCGCAAAGTTTAACAATTCAATGAACTCACTTCGGCCACCCTTGCGGTGTCAAACGTCCCATCCGATGCATGTCGCGTCAGTTCGTAATTAATTTTCCCCGAAGGTCACGGCAGCAGCCAAAGGGAACTAATCAAGCAAAACTGGTGTTGACGCGCCTTCAAGAGGAATCAATATTCTCAAACTGCCGGACCAATCGAATCTGGAAAAAGGAGGACATCCGACACGGATATATGTGGATAAGTCAAGCCATCACATAAAGTTTCATCATGTTTGATTTGCAGATTCACCGGATAACTACACGTTCACATCTTAAAATAAAATGGTACTCTAGTTGATTAACTAAGTTAACTTGGAAGCTGCTAGGCACGGCATAATATAGCTTTATCATATATGTAGCTCATTTCCAAACAATTCACACTGGACTTGGGCCAAAAGTTATGATTCTGTCTTTGCCACGTATGCGGTTCAATCACTGATATTGACAAGCCATTTCAAACCACTAATTATAACCTGATGTTATATCATAGATTAGAAGCGCTTCACGAAAAGTAGCTCAGTTCTCACATTGTGTCCGCCATTTCACCAGCGGCAATCCGGAATTTCCACGTCCGCACACTTCTAGCAATAACTTCTACATACACAATAACATGGAAGAAATTTCGCCGATTCATTTCGAGCTCGACTTCGCACAGGCTGACTGGCACAACGTTGACGGGATCGCGTCGCGTCAAGATCGCAATTAAGGTAGAACAAAGTGATTAAATAACAAGACGCCAGTCTTCACACCAGGGGCAGTTGTCAAGTCGAGAAACAAATTCAATTTTTTCAAATGTCCGCCGGAAAGTGACCTATGATTTTCGTAGCGACCATTCCTGAGCAAAAACTTGCCCTTCTTCAACACCTCTTTATGTCGTAATCAAACAATAGCAATATTTTGAGATTGGGATTTGAAAAGCAAAGAAAAGACTGCAAGTACCATACACACGAATGAAAAAATACTTCAACATTGTTTGAATATATACCGGGTACTAAACTTGTGCGTGCCGCATGGCTTCGTAGTTTGCTGGTTACTGGCGAGAAGGTTTCAGTAAAGTTTTATCCGGTGCTTGAAGAGAACCTTCTTTCCAGGAGAAGCATTAATGGTCCGGATCCGAACACACAAGCGAATTCAAACCCAGAAATCTATGTGACGGATGTTGTTTGGAAAACCGTATCGATATATCTGTGAGATGATTTGTTAACGACATTCCACGCCATTCAGCTTTCATTCAATTCATTTACGTAGACGTGTGGATGTGGTGACAGCGGTAAGAGGGATTGACAACACCTAAATTACAGGAACCGTGACTTCTTTTTTCCCACACGCCATTTGTACAAGTCGCAGTTTTCAGTTTATACGTTGCATTGCAACGTAACAGAAGCTGATTGTTGAGGAAACGTTGCATTGCAAGGTAACAGAAGCTGATTGATGACGAGCTCAAATGGCTGTCAGGTGGAAGATTGTACAAAATACTTGACTTATTATCATGCAATCTCTCCTCTTGTTGACACTGCTCTTCCATGACAATAAATTGCGCAGTAGAAATGCAGGGTAGTTTCCTTGATCTTTCCACATTCATTTAACTTAAACGCGGCCAATGGAACGTATCTGTGCTCATAAATGTGGTGAGTGATTGTGATTTATGGCGTTGGAGGTTGGAGCAAAAGTGGGTATACATCTCAGATGCGAAAAATTATATTTAAGCCATCACTGTCAACGAACGTGAACTGCAAAACAAAAACAAATAAATCACGGTGCTCTAACAAATGCAACTAAACTAAAGCATATTCGAAGTTTTTGTCATATTGTACGTTATTACTCCACAGCTCAAGTGTATATGTGTTCAACACAAGTGAAATGGTTAATTCGGTCCTTAACTTAAACATTTAAAAACAATATGTGGAGAAGTCCACTGTCAACACGGTCGGTCGTCGTTAAGTCAAACACATCAACGTAGATACAGTTTTTCACTTCACTTTTTTTTGTTACGAGTAAGTTCAGTGGACCGATTGATCCTTAGCTCAAGTATATTAATACAACGTATGACCAAGTTCAAGATGCAGCAAACGTTGAAAAAAACATAACTAATTGACGGACTGACAAGGACACCCCCAAATGAAAGAAAATTTCTGCTGGCTGATCAAAAAAACGCAACCAGCATTCAACCACATTCCATTCTAATCCACACGCTAACCTCAACAACAACAACAACCAACATCGAAAACATCCGAATAAACAATGGCGGCAGACTCAAGAGCAGAAGGAAACAGAATCCTATCCTTGGAAAAGGAACGGGAGCAAATGCTGGAGGATATCAAAAAGCAAAAGGAGAAGATTAAGAAGGTATTGGCCACCATCATCTGGTTTAGTAGTTTGGGATCTCAGTGTTGCGTTGGCATTCTACATTGAAGATGTTGGATGGATGAATGGATCTCTCAATGAGTTACGCACTACATGTGGGTGTTGAAGAATGTTCATAAGCCTTCGAGATCTCAAGAAGTTGGTATCGACCGCAGTT